GAGTGGAGACCTAAAGCCCATCTGTCGATGATTGGAATCCCCTTACAGAAGGGTCACAGGAAGAATCAAGCCAGTCAGGGTGCAGGATAGGACTGATGAAACATACAATTTTCCTCTAATTCTTGAGTGGTCCCTCCCCCACCCACTATCATGACCCCAATTCTACCTCACAAATCCAGCTAGACCAAGGTAGGCACACTGGTACAGATACACTCTCACAACACAGGGAATCCAGGACAGATAAACCCCTCAGGACCAATAATGAGAGTAGTAATACCAGGAGGGTAAGGGGAACGTTAAAGGAGAAAGGGGGAATAGATCACACAATGGTCAACATATAAGCACCTCTTGGAGGGACAGACAATAGAAAGTGGGTGAAGGGATACAGGGGTCAGTGTAAGACATGAAAAAAATAATAATTTATAAATCATCAAGGGTTCATGAGGGAGGGAGTGTGTGTGTGTTCGTGGGGGCGTGGGGGCAGTGGGAATGAGCTGATACCAAGGGCTCAAATAGAAAAAAAATGTATTGGAAATGATGGCAATATATGTACAAATATGCTTGACACAATGAATGTATGTATGGATTGTGATAAGTGCTCTAAGATCGCCCAATAAAATTATTTAATAAAAAATATAATAAATATATAAGCAAATAAAGAATATAATGGTAAGTTTCAAGATGTTTTTTCTTTATTAATATGAGTGCATAATTTTAAATATGTTTAGATTATCTCATTCAAAAGTCAATCCTGATAAAGAGTCACTTTGCATCAATCTGCTTAGGACCACTAAGCAAGAAATAATAATCAAAAAAATTTTTATGGAAATAATCCTCACATTATTTTTATCATAACCCAATCAAGGAGTACTTCATAAGCTCTTCCCAAGGTGGATTCAGACATTCTGTCATGAAGAGCCTTACAGCATCATAGCATCATGGTCTTGGGGTCATGGGGTGGCCATGACTTTCCATTCCGGTATCTTACAAACTGCGACACTAGAGTATGAAGAGTTGAAGGAACTTATCTGAAATTGCACACCAGCAAGTGGGAAAGCCAAGTCCAGAGGTCAACTGTCCTGAAAACTGTAACTATCCTTTCCACTGTGTCACAGGGGCATGATGCATTCATAATCAGCACATTGGCTATAGAACACTTCATAATGGTTTTACACTTACCTTTAAAATATTTTGTATCTATTTCAATTTGAGTTATGACGCCAGGATGTGCTAATCGGAAGACTGCCCATTCACAACCTGGAACCAGGAGAATGCCATTCTCATCTCTCTGAAGTTCAAAAAAATTTTAAAAGATAACAAAACATGGAGTGATTCAAGAAACAAATCTTGAAAACAGGCAAGTGAAAAAAATTTATATGCTGTACTTATGCCATTACTTACCATAAAGAAATATTTCCTAATACTTGATTTCTAAACTCTGTGGCAAGTATTGCCTCCTTGCTATTATTCTTAAATGCCTTGGGCTGACTAACAAGTGTGTTGATACTCAATAGATTTTTATACATTTAAAATGATTTTTATATTGGATGTACCTTCATGTATACAAGAAAGAATATTTATCTAATCCAATTAATGGGTCCTCTAATCTGCTTTGAACATTCAAAATAGGCATTTTCTTGTCAAATTTATACCAAGTCTATACTTCTGTGCCCTATTTTCAAGAGAAATTGGTTAATTCATTTATACCTGGAAGCATTGGTTGGCATGAAATCTAACCCAAGAAAAGGTTGCTGGAGACTATTTTCTGTGAGATTTACACATTGAATGATATTTCATTTTGTTGTACTTTCATTTTGGTCTTCATCTTGAGTTAGTACGAGTCCTTTCAGTCACAAAATCACCTAATCACCTCCAGACATATTTAGATATGGCTAGGCTTTTTCTTTCTAGATCTACCAACAGATATACTTGTAACTTTTATTTCATGAAATGATATGCACTGCCATCAAATGGATTCCAACTCATAATGACCCTGTAGGAGAAAATAGAGCTACCTGTGTGGGCTTCTGAGACTGTAACTCATCTTTCTCCTGGTGGTTTTATACTGCTGATTTTAAGGTTAGCAGCCCAATACATAACCCACTGTTGTTGTTGTTGTTGCTGTTGCTGTTATTTGCCAATGAATCAATTCCAACCCCTAGCAACCTTGTGCATTACAGAATGAAACACTGCCTGGTCCTGCACTAGCCTCACAATTGTCCCTCTGCCTGAAACCATTGCTGCAGCCATGGAGTCAATCCATTTCATTGAGGGCCTTCCTCTTTTACACTGCCCCCCACCACACTTTACCAAGCATGGTAAAGGACCTGGTCTCTCCTGACAACATGTCCAAAGTGTGTAAGATGAAGTCTCGACCTCCTTGCTTCTAAGGGGCACTATGGTCATACTTCTTCCAAGAAAAATCTGTTTGTGCTTTTGTCTCTACGTGGTACTTTCAATATTCTTCACCAGCAGCACAATTCAAATGCATTGATTCCTCTTCTTCAGTCTTCCTTACTCAATGTCCAACTTTGAGTTGGATATTGTGTGTGAGGCCATTGAAGATAGCATGACTTGGCGTGTTGGTTACATAATTTCATGTCAGCTTGATAAAAGAATGAAGGGGTGGAGTCTAGCCTGTCAATTAGGTCACAGCCTGATGGTCCCTCCTTGTGGGCATGGACTTCTCATGAAGATACTGGGAACTTCCTCTCTTCCTCCCTGGAGATGGGACACACTCTCTCTACTTCAACTTCCTATAGACAAGCCACATAGAACCACGCTGATGGCAGCCAGAGCCCTGAAGATGCTCCCACCACCACTGGATCCATAAGACTTTCCACTCACCAGCCTGTGATCTTCCTGCATCATTGCTTATGTTGCATGAGTCTGAAGAGGAATTTATAGACTAGTATTTATAGCCATATGGGCTAAGATCAGACTTATGGACTTGATCTGGACTGGGCTGGGATGTTTTCTTAATATACAACTACTCTTTGATATAAAGCTCTTTTTTATACATACATGAGTGTCACTGGATTTGTTTCTCTAGTTAACCTTGTCTAACACACTTGTGTAAGTTGCATCTTATTCCTTGAAGTAACATCCTTGCTTTTCGATATTATAAAGAGGTCCTGTGAGGCAGATTTACCCCATACAAGGCATATTTTGATCTCTTGACTGCTGCTTCTGTGAACATGGATCATGGATCCAAATAAGACAAAATGCTTCACAACTTCAACTGTCTATCCATTTATCATGATGTTAACTATTGGTCCAGGTTAGAGGATTTTGGTCTTTTTTACATTGAATTGAATCCATATTGAAGGATTCAATTTCTGATCTTCATCAGCAAGGGTCTCAGGTCCTACTCACTTTCAGCATAAAAGGTTGTGTCATCTGCATATCATAGGTTATTAATAAATCTTCCTCCGATCTTGATGCTGAATTCTTATTAACATAATCCAGTTTCTCGAATTACGTGCACAGCATACAGTCTGAGTAAGTATGGTGAGAAGATACAACCCTGAATAACACCTTTCCTGATATTAAACCATGCAGTATTCCCTTGTTCTGTTCACACAACTGACCCTTGATCCATGTATAAGTTCCTCAGGAGTACAATGAAGTGTTCTGAAATACCCATTCTTTTTAAAGTTATAGTTTGTTATGATCCACACAACCAAATGGTTTTGCCTAATTAATAAAACAGAGTAAACATCATTCTGGTATCCTCAGTTGTGAGCCAAGATCCATCTGACATCAGAAATTAAATCCCTCATTCTATGACTTCTCCTAAATCCACCCCGAACCTCTGAACACTCCCTGCCAATGTACTGCTGCAATAATTGGTGGATGATTCTCAACAAATTTTATTTGAATGTGATGTAAATGATATTTTTCTATAGTTTGAGCATTCTGTCGGGTTACCTTTCTTTGAAATGGGTACAAATGTGGATCACCTCCAGTCAGATGGCCAAGTAGCTGTCTTTCAAATAGTCTGGCATTGACAAGTCATTAGTTCTTGCTCATATGCTACCTCCTGAAATGATGAAATGTCAGCTAGTCCTTTTTTTGGGTAAAGTGACTCTGTATTCTCAGCATCTTCTTTTAATGCTTCATTCATCATTCAATATTTTGTCCATAGACGCTTTCAATATTCCAATTCAAGGCTTGAATTTTTTTCTTGAATTCTTTCAGTTTAAGATATGCTGTGTGTTATTCCTTTTTGGTTTTCTAACTACAGATCTTTGCACATTACATTTTGTCTTCTTAAGCTGCTGTTTGAAATGTTCTATTCAGCTCTTTGACTTCATCACTTCTTCCATGTGCCTTCACGACTCTACAATTAAGAGCAAATTTCAGAGTCTCTTCTGACATCCACTGAGGTAATTAGTTTATTGTGCCAACCTGGCCAATAAACACATGCGGGGTTAATTGAAGGATGGAGAGATAAATGGCTCAGTGAACCTTGCCTTTCTAGTTCTCAGGTCTCTTGCTTTCTGATGGTTGGACCAGGGTGCAGCTGCCTTAGCCAGTTCCCTGATTCAGCTGGCAAGGCTCACTTCCTGCATAGGCAGCCCTGAAGAGAAGCCACATGGACCTACCCTGATGCAGCCCTGGGTGCTGGAGCACCCGTATAAAGACCCCTGCCAGCACTGAGATGCTTACACATTCACTGATTCAGCTTTCCTCCTGAAGTTGGCATCATTGCGTCTGTTTTGTGAGATGGAGGGGGACTTTGTGGATTTGTTGGACATATGGGTTAATGGGTTAATGTTGGCCTTGTGGGCTTGAGCAGCACTGGGTTGGGATGTTTTCTTGATGCGCACTTAACCTTTATATAAAACTCTCTCTTATACATGCATTTCTGTGGATTTTTTTCTCTAAATTACCGAGACTAACACATCTGCTTTGATCTATTCTGTCTTTTCAAAAATTTTTACTTTCTTTTTGAGTGGTGTTCATTCAGGTCTTCTGTCATTGGTGTTCAATGCATTAAGTCAATTCTTGAGATGTTCCTGAAATTCAGGTGAGATAGACTTAAGGTCATATTTTGGCTCTTGTGGAACAGATCATCAATTGCAAATGTAACATCAGGTTAAAGCTGAAGAAAATTAAAACAAGTCCACACAACCCACTATGCCATCATAAATTCTCTTACTTCTTCACTAAAGAAACAGAGAAATAGTCCCAAAATACATTAGAGTACCTGACAATAGCTAGAGTGTTTTATATTCTGGGTCTTTGCTCTGATATTATAGACAACAATGTTGTTGTTGTCATTGTTGCTATTGTTGTCAGTTTTAGGCGCCATCGAGTTACTAGCCCTTTCTGTACAACAAAATGTAGCACTTCTTGGTCTTTTGCCATCTTCACAATTGCTGTTATGTTTCAACCTATTGATATTATACTGAGTCAATGGAAAATTTGGAAACACTGGAAGCAAGGAATAACATTCAGAACAATACTTAAGAGGTGTCTAAAATAAGCTAGCATTTTCTTGACTTAAAAATAAATTTAAGACATACTTTTTCAAAAAATTTTGTTTTTCTTTTTAAATTTCTTACTTCTAATACTGGTGGTCTGTCCAATCTCCTTGCAGTTGTCCAGCCATCTGCTATAGACTTTGCTATGCCAACACCTACAAAATAAAAAAAGAGAGAGCGAAATAATTTAACTGTGTATCACATGATTTTATTTTAAATATGAGAATCTATCATTAGCAAGTTATAATTAGAGATTCTATGCAACTAAGAATGTTATAAATATTATTTTTATTAAATATAAATTTTTAGTAAATTTATATTCAACCAAATGTTATAACATATATTTAAACCAAAATGGAAGGAAAATTGCTACTGTTGGCCTATGACAAGTTTTAGATGCATCAAATTGTACATATAAACAATTAATCTCATCTACCCCTATGCTTTGAAATGAATCCTTTGTTTTAAATAATCCCCCCCAAAATAAGATATTTAATCCTGGTACCCCAGACTTTATGAATAAATCCTAGAAACATCAACTTACCTATGATATTGTTTGGGTGACCAAAATATGAATTACTGAACCCCACACAGACGCCCCCACTAGCAATGGTCACCAGGTCTAGAGCTTCTTTGGGATCCGTTGCAGTCCAGTTTTTTTGTCCAGTACCATATACTCTAAAACGTGCAATTCCACCATCTGAAAAGGAAAAACTGTCTCATTTATTTTTGTTTAGAGAAGTTGCTCTTAGTCTACAGTAAAACATAACACCTGTGTAATCTGATTTTTGCTTCCTCCTCTAATGTCATTTCCTATATTTCAGCCATACTCACCTCCTTTTTGTCTTCCAATGTGTCCAACATGTCGCAGATCCTTTGTTTTTTGTTTTTGCTTTTTTTTTAAACATTTTATTAGGGGCTCATACAACTGTTATCGCAATCCATACACACATCAATTGTGTAAAGCACATTTGTACATCATTC